TTTTTTTTTTTTTTTTTTTTGGTACGGGAATTGAACTCAAGGCAGGCCACCGAACTGCTGAGCCAAATCCCTGGCCCTAGGGGAAGGTATTTTATTTTCTTCTTTACAAATAAGAAAACTGGGGCAGAAAAGAGGTTACTTAAGTATTAGTTTTGTGACTATAGATATGTAATGAATCTAAGAATACCAATACACATTTATGTGATTTCAAAGCCCCTATCCAATACCCTGTACTTGAAGAATACACAAATCTACTTTTCAAAGGGGACAAGAGTGAAGACAGAAACAGGAGGGAGAAAAAAGATAAGGAACAACCACCAAACCTGTGTTGGTGAAAGAGAAAAGAATTTGATGAAATATTTTTATCATATGTTACTCTCTATGTACAACAGTGGCTTGCAATTTTTACAGCTGTAAATCTATGTATAAAATAACATTGAATTTATTTTTAAACACTAATAGCAGCTCATTGAAATAATCTCTACTTTTGTTGTAATATAAATATGTCAGTATACATATGTATTTACAACTGTTAATCTTTTTAGGCCAAGGACATGTCATATATGTTATGTAGCATAATGTAGTAATTAAAACTTTTATAATAACATAAAATTTAAACTCCATTAGTTTTCTCCAGATAAATATACTTTACAGACTTTCTATAGACTAACAAGTCAGATGACCTAATAAAGGGATTCCTTGATAGAGATAATCTCCAAAGTTGGAACATGGCTAGTGATTCTTAAAATATTTAACTGGCTTTCTTCAGAAAGAAAGTAGATGATTCTGTTGCTGAACTGTGATCACTGTATCACTGGTCTCCTATATCTCTGTTCTAAGTGAACCCTATGGATTAGATGATAGCAAAAAAAAAATTTGGTAAGCAACTCATGGCATGTTGTATTATTTAATCATTAGATTTTCTTATTACTCTCTGTAAACATAAAGTAATTCTTAAAATATAGACTTATTGTTCTATAATGTTAGTATGTTTTTTATGATTCTTATTTGATGTACTCATGATTCCTTTAATTAGCAATGCATTATTGATGAACATTAACATAAAAGCACTGAGTTCTTTATGCTCATGATCTCCTGGTTTTTAGGGTTCCCAGTGCCGATTCCGACACTGCGAAGAAGCCCTTGGCAGTGACACTGTGTGCTCATTATGGAGAGAGAAAAAATGTTTAGATCCACTTTGCAGATTTAGACACATGGAAATGCAGGTAAAATTATTCAGTCTCATCACTTTTGTTAAAAGCATCTCCTTTCAATAATGCTGGGTTATACTTTTACAATGGGATAGGGAAAATTATTCTTCCTGCCATTATTGAATTTAGGTATGTTCACTTTGTTTAACTTAAAATCTTAGAAAACTAAAAGATGTTTTAGAAACATCTATTGTGTCTTTTAATACGGACACAAGAAAAGCCAGGAAATAAATGATCTTAGATTGATAATTGCAATTGTTTTTGTCACATTATGTTCTGTTGTAGCACATTCTATTTACCGTGAATATGGCATCTAATCATTCATTACGTTTCCCCCACATTTTTCATCTAGCAAAACTGCAGCATTTCATGCTTCTGGGAAACTCAACCTCTTGGTTGTGTGAAGATAAGTTGTATTTTTTATCACAGCAAACCTCGAAATATCAATGGATTATTTTTGCCACCAAGTAGCAGTGAGTATATTTTTATTGAATAATCTGGGCGTATTGTATCATAATCTGGTTTTGGAGTAGCAGCACAGAATGACACATTAAAACATGACAAAGTGACCAATGCAGTTTATTTGCCAATGGATGATTTGGGATGATTCTAGTTAGAATCATGAGTTGAACCAGCATGTTAACAAGAAGACAGACGTCATGGTGCATGCCTGTAATTCAGACTACTTGGGAGGCTAAAGCAGGAGCACTGCAAGTTCATGGCAAGCTTGGGGAATTAAGACACTGTCTCAAAACAAAAAAATGAAAAGGACTGGTAGAGAATCCCGCAGATTAATCCCTGGTTCAGGAAAGATGGAAGGAAGGAAATAAGACCAAAAAAAAAAGTTCAACTTTCTTTGACTGTGTGTATCTAAAACAGACCTGATTCACCTGAAAAAGTGAGATGACTATGGATTTCATTAAGCAGAAGATTGTGTCATCAAAGCTCCAAACAATGGAACCAAGCTCAGAGGTTATGACCTTCACAGTGCTCCTTGTGAATGTCAGAAACCTGTCTCACAAGTGGGAGAGCGAGGACATGCTGAGTTATGCACTTCTGTTTCTAGCAGAGCAGCTGTCTGCTGTGGTTCTTCCTGAGACTATAACTGTGGAGAAAATGTAATCTCTCTGACAAAAGAAATGGCACAATTCAATCCAACTGAATGATACTGAGACAAATTTCTGAGTTTTGAAGTAGATTCTAGAAAGGAAACAGAAGACAGTGTAGCCAAAGTCAGTGAACAGGAAGAACCTAGCTGAAGATATTAAATGTATGTGTACCAATTTCCCAAGAGAAATAAATCATTATGTATTACGAACTTTAATCTAAGAAAAAAAGATCAAATCACAACTCAAACAACAACAGAAATTTTAAGTTTTCCCTAATGCTGTCACAAATTTACTTTTCGTACTCTAAATTATTCTGATGAAAAAGCTCTAGCAATCTGCTTGCAGGATCTTGGTCCTTTTGATATTTGAAAAAATGGCTTTGGATAATCTTTGACAAATGGGTGTAAAATTTAAATCCTCTTCTTTTGTGCTTCTGGAAAATTCTGACCTCATAGTACATATCATTCATTTAACACCTTGATCAGTGTTTCTCTCCCTCACTAGACTAAATGTCAGGGTGAGGATCATCACTACCATTGCTTTTTCCTTACCATTCGTTTTTCCCAGTGATTGGATCACTGATGCTCAGTAAAAGTGGATGTTTGGATATATGGCTGGGGGATGGATAGATGACTACTGACAGGTAACCTATTGCGATGACACTTATTGCATGTATCTGATTAACTTTGCCCCCTTAGTTTACATGTGTTGATTTTATTTCTTAAAATAAAATGTACTGAAGTCTTTGTATCTGGTTAGTAGATTGCTCCCTAGTGTTCTATAGGTAAATTGCTATCTTTTAAACTAGCTCCTTTAGGACTAGAGAAAAACAAAAACTCCATGGGCAGAAGGGTGAAATGCCTATGTACCAGACAACTATGGGGCTCCCCAATATAAGGCATGGCCTGAGAGCAGGGAGTGCTTGGGTACAAGCTTTATTATTCTCATCTTAAAGATAGAATCTGCACATTGAAGACAAGTAACTGCTTTCTGCCTTTTCTTCTTCACCAGGTGACAAGGTCCAGCCTGACACTTGTAGTAGGCTTCCGCTCAACAGCGTCAAATCTATATCCATACAGTGGGACCAAGCCCTTCCCATGAGCATTCTAACCCACCATAGCAGCCAAATGATGGAAATGATAACCTGCTTTTTCAAGCCTCTTTAACTCAATCTATAGGGGACAAGCAGGAGCCCCACACACCTCCCTCTCCAACACAGTTTCATCATAGCCACTTATGTTTTGAATTCAGCGGGGCTATTTCATTCTTTATGTTGATCAATATGAGAGACTCTCATAAATGACTCACTCCTGTCCGTCTCCTGTCATTTTCACTCACCCTCCCCAACCTCCCATAATCAACAGAGTTCTCTATTATTTCTTCATCTTGACATTCCTAGAGGAGCTTCTTTCTGAAGGTGCTATTCCTCCTGCAGTGCTCCCAGTGATCAGTATAACCATGGCTCTGGAAGTGAGGTGAGAGGTTTCCTTGGTCCTCACTGCCGGTTTCAGACTGTTCTCTGGCACTTCTCCCTCAAAGCCTCCAGTGGTTATCTAAAGTCAGGGGATAATATTTTGTTTTTTACAAACTCTCGGTGTAGATGTTGTTTGTTTATGTTTACATCCATCTAGGTATTTTCTCTTTGTCTTTCAACAATCAATGCTTAGTTTGTTGTCACTCTCACAGTACTCCTCTGTCAATTTTTAGTGAATATTTAATATGAATTTAATTTGTTTTATAATTTTTGGGGAAAATGGCCGCAGTATGGACTGCTTTTGAGAACCAAATTATTTGGGAACAGAAGCATTCATGAACTGAAGGTGTCACTATGTAGTTGAAAGTGACCTGAAACTCGCTATGTAGCCCAGGCTGGTCTCGAACTCACAGTGATACTCGTGCCTCAGCCTCCCGAGTGCTGGAATTATAGGCGTGCACCACCATGCCCTGGCTAATTTTCTTATCTAGCTTCCTAACACCATCCTGATTTTGTTTTCCTTAAATCATCGTATTACTCTGTTACTATTAATCTTGCTGGGTTTTAAATCTTTCATCCAACCCCTTACATGTGCAGTGTAGTATGAGTTAGTCCTTGGATCTCTTTTTCTCTGTCTACACTTTGAAATCTCAAGTCTTTTGTTATTGTTGTTGTTTGAGAAAAGGTCTCACTTTGTAGTTTAGGCTGGCCTTGACCTCAAGGTGAACCTCCTGTCTCTGCCTCCCGAGTGATGTGATTACAGGTATGTCCCACCACACCTGGCTTTCATCCAGACATTTATCTTTTAACATGGATTCACAAGTCATTGACTCCTAAATTTATATCTATGTTCAACTTTTCAAACTTCAGATTTCTGTGTTCATCTTCAACTCTTGTCTGACTACTAACATTTTACACTTAACACGTTTTTTATCTCCATTTGTTCTAACCTGCCACATTCTTCATTTGCAGCTCTTCCGATCTCATTTTAATGGCAATCTCATCCTTGTTGTTTAGGTCATCTGAATCATCTGCAAATTCTCAGTTTGTGTCATGTCCCACAACTAATCCTTATAGGAATCTTGTGTATTTTGCCACCCTCCTACTGTTCCCGTGAGCCAATGCACAGTTACCATCCAATAACAGGATGACTACAGTGGCCTCTTGTATTCTCTGCTCTATCTCTTGCCCATTTATGTCTACTCAAATACACTGGTATATTCTGATACATCAAACAGGTGTCACTCTTCTACTCACAATCTTCCAATATCTTCTCATTCAGAGAATACAGAGTCCTCATAGAAGCTTACAAAAGGGACTCTATTTGATCGGGTACCCTGTTAGCTCTCTAAATTTATCTCCCAACTCATATACTTGCTTACTGTACTCCAAACAAACTAAGATTCTGTTGTAGTTTAGGTCTAAAATGCTCCACAGTAGGATCATGGAAATGCTAACCGATCAGCGCATTAATTCACTGGTGAGCATGGCTGCCTGTGTAGTTAGGAGGTGGGGCCTGATTTGAAGTAGATCACAGGGGCATGACCTGGGAGGGTGTGTTCCTGTCCTCAACTCACCCTCTCCCACTGCTTCCTGGCTGCCACGGGTGAGCAGCTTTCCCCCACTGTGCCTTTGTACCATGACCTTTCCGCCTTGGATCCGGCTATGTGAAATGTAGTCAGCTTTCCCACCCTCTCCTTATACACTTCCAGTCTTCTCTACTTTACTTTTGCTATATCCCAGTGATGGCAAAATTGTAAGGATTGAGTGCCCGAAATGAAACGCATTTATCACAGAGGGCCAACTCTGTCCCATAAGCACTATTATCTGATGCTCAGCTGTTGAGGCAATGGTGAGGGAACTTGGCTCAAGTCCTGACAAGAGGACTGTGTGTGCCTGCTGTAGCACCTGTCATAGGTTCACCACCACTGCCATGTCTCTTCTCATCTTCTCGGATACAATGTAATTTATTCATTAACCATCCATGTGAGTGTATTACAGAATTAGTGATTAGTGAAATAAAATTAAGAATTACTGCTCTGTGAATTTTACAAAAAAACAGCACCTTTTAAAACTCTTTCAAACACGGGAACTGTCGTTCCCAATTCCCAGAATAAAAACTTTTTACTTGGTATATATAATTGAATTATTCATGCAAAAATTTCTTAAAACCTATTTTTCTAATATTTGTGGTTTAACCATCAAAAATATTCATAGCAGAAAATAGTGCATTATGATGATAGTGTATCTAGCATATATTTCAAAGGAATTTGTTATGGAAGTTGATAGTGTGTAGAAAGTAGTTGTTCATGTTTGAAATGTCTGGGCATGATGAGGTACTCTATCATTCGTACTAATCGACACTCCCTCTTATAAGCAGTTACATACTGCTAAATGTTTAAGAACAGGATCTTTTCGAGAATGAGGTTTTTAAAAAGGTAAAAAATAAATAATCCGATTGGTAGCTTTTGCTACATACCAAGGAGAAAATGTTTCCGCTATGCCCAATTTCAGACTCCAATGTGTATCAGTTTGTGTGGAAAATTCCTGTAAATTTTAAACTTGCTCTTACATGCTGATCCGAATCTACTCCAGGTTATCATTGGTGGTAGGAAGAAAAACACAACAGACTGATTGAAGAGTCTTAATTGAAGAGATTAAGGACAGAGCTGACCACAGATGCAGAGATTTTAACAACTCTTGCAAAAGAGCTAGTTGGCTTTTTTTTTTTTTTTTTTTTTTTTTTTTTTTTTTTTTTTTTGAGACAGGGTCTTGCTAACCTAGACCCTGGACACAAAATAAGTAAAAACTAAGGACACTGGTCAAGCTCATACCTGGTTAGAATCTCAATTTACCACATATTTGCCAGTGTGGGGCAACTTAATCTCTG